CGGTAGGACGAGCCAGGCGTTTCGCCTGAGACTTCCTCACCACTTCCAATGTTTAAGCTCAAGTACGCGGTGCTGCTCGTTGTCAACATGATGGACCCACGAACCCGGAAAGGGATATAGACATGTGCAGCATGGTCACGTTTTCACGATATCCAACTGGGCGACACCTCACGAAACATCCCACGAGACACCCCGCGAAACATCCCAGGAGACACCTCACGAAACAACCCACGAGACACCTCACGAAACATTCCACGAGACACCCCGTGAAACATTCCACGAGACACCCCACGAACAGGCAACCACTCAACCAGACACCCCACGAAACATTCCACGGGGGTGCGACTGGGTGTGGTCGTGCTGGGGTGTGGTCGTGCTGGAGTATGGTCGTGTGGGGGTGTGGTCGTGGGGGGTGGTCGTGCTGGGGGTGGTCGTGCTAGGGGGGTGGTCGTGCTGGGGCTGGGGCGTGGTCGTGCTGGGGCGTGGTCGTGCTGGGGCGTGGTCGTGCTGGGGTGTGGTCGTGCTGTGGTGAGGTCGTGCTGGGGTGTGGTCGTGCTGGGGTGTGGTCTTGCTGGGGTGGGGTCGTGCTGGGGTGGGTCGTGCTGGGGTGTGGTCGTGCTGGGGTGGTCGTGCTGGGTGGGGTCGTGCTGGGGTGGGGTCGTGCTGGGGTGTGGTCGTGCTGGGGTGTGGTCGTGCTGGGGTGTGGTCGTGCTAGGGTGGGGTCGTGCTGGGGTGGGGTCGTGCTGGGGTGTGGTCGTGCTGGGGTGTGGTCGTGCTGGGGTGTGGTCGTGCTGGGGCGTGGTCGTGCTGGGGTGGGGTCGTGCTGGGGTCGTGCTGGGGTGTGGTCGTGCTGGGGTGGTCCGCACCCTGTGATTTATCGATCGGGTCGTGCTGGGGTGTGGTCGTGCTGGGGTGTGGTCGTGCTGGGGTGTGGTCGTGCTGGGGTGTGGTCGTGCTGGGGTGGTCGTGCTGGGGTGTGGTCGTGCTGGGGCGTGGTCGTGCTGGGGCGTGGTCGTGCTGGAATGTGGTCGTGCTGGGATGTGGTCGTGCTGAGGTGGCCCGCACCCTGTGATTTATCGATCGGGATTTCAAAAACAAGCGTTTCGCTCGAGACATCCTCAAATTTTAATTCGCCGGCCTCCTTCGACCTCGTTATTTATCAGGGAAAAAATTCGCCGGCAATTCGCCGGCCTCCTTCAAGCAGGCACCGGGGGATTAAGTTTACAAACTAAAAGAGAACCCTGGGCCGGAGCCCTTTCCGGGAAAAAGTATCTCTCGCCTTAGCACCGTGCGCAATCGTCTTTAAAGTTTGCAAGAGCTTCACGGATGGAGGGCGGTACCTTTTTTCAAAATGTGGGCATCGCTTCAGCGCTGCGCACATTCGTCAAAAGAGTTTACAGCAGCTTCAAGAATTCTCCGGGCTGGCGTCCCAGAACGGTGTTTTGGCACGATGCAGGACTGTCAGGCGCAACAGCCACAATGACTCGAGGCGTTGAGGTCCCAGGAATGGCGTTAGGGCACGATTCAGGTTCGTCAAGACGCAACAGTAATGTTGACCCGCGGCATTGAAGTCCCAGGAGTGGTGTTCTGGCACGCTTCAGAATTTCCAGATGGTTATCCTCGAACGGGGCACTCCCTCAGTGAAACCTTTGTAGGGACCTAGCAACCTGGAGGGTGCGTGTCTTGCAACGTCGTTAGCGAGTCTTGGGTTTGCACTGATCCTGCGCCGCCTCTTCCACGTTCTCCTCCTCCTCCTCCTCCTCTTCGTCGTCCTCCTCCTCCACCTCTTCCTCCTCCTAATGCCCACTGGTTTGTTTGAGGGCCCTCGGTTCCAAGAAGTTTGCGCCCAAGCAAAAATGGGCGGTGCACGCAGAGACGCGTCGTGCTGCGCGGCCTCTCAGCCCAGCAGTGGCAGAAGGATTTATCATTAAGGAGTTGTGCCCGATTTGCGGCCAGGCTGGGAACACGGTTCTCCTTATGTTGTGGCACCGCCCAGCTTGCGAGGTAGCGAAGTCCCGCATTGTAGGCGAAAGGCTGCTGGAGCGGGTCCGAGCGGAGGTGTCGAGACCACCTCCTGGGTTTGAGCCGCTTTACGAGGCAGGGCTCGTTGAGCACCAAATTAAGGACGTTCCCCCTCCCCTCTCTCAGGACGAAGCGATGCAAGCCGTGCAGTTCCAATGCTTCCCTGAGGCTTTCGCCGAGGAAAATATCCCTCCGCCTGACTCAGGGAGTAGAGAGCTCTCGGGACGACTGTACGGCGACGGCTCGTGCCTTCGATCTGCGATCAAGGACCTGTCCCGCTCGGGTCTCAGCCAGGATGTTTGGGCCCCCCAGAGGTTCTATCCGCAGACCAGCGTGGCTGCCGAGCTTGCTTCCCCAACTAGTGCTGCATCTCTCCTAAAGGCTGTTGCTGATGTTTACTCTGACTGTCAAGTCGCTGTGAATGAGCTTCCCAGAGGCGATCGGGACCGCCTGCAACCGAACAGGCCCTATCGTGGCCTGGTCCTGCAGACGGACGCGTTCGCCCAGGGCTCCCCCTGCGGGATCTCGAAAGCTCGGGCCCACCAGGAAGACGACTTGGCCTCGCCGTTGGCCGATGGATTGCACATCCGTTGCAACAGCGCTGTCGACACGGCGGCCAAAGAAGGTGCCGCTGCTGCATCCTCGTAAGTCCTGCGCGGAGACTGATGGGGCTGATGTGTTCTGTGCTCTGTCTCTGGTGCCGTCACGCTTCTGGCGGCCAATCTGACGGACAAATGGCCTCGGACGATCCTTGCGGGGGTTGCCCGTGCTGAGCCCCCGCCGTCGCGTGTGAAAGATCAGAGGCCACCTCTTGCATGGAGCTGGGTCGGTAGGCTCTGGCGGCGTGCTCAGTGCCTGCGAGGCTCTAGAACTTCTGCACAAACCCGCTCCAGGACTTTGTGATCGATTGTTGGGTGGTGATCCCGCTAGACTGCGGGAGCTCGAGCATCGCTGCCTGGTTGTAGACTCCAGTGACCATAGTTTCGCTTGCGCCTGTCAAGCCTGTGCTGCGTTCACGACAGGTGGGCAAATGAGGCGGCTGGCAAAGCAATGCCTGGGCAGTCCGCCTGCTCGAAGTGAAGCTCGGTTGAGATTGCGCAGAGGTCTCCACCCTGATCACCAGAAGGTCTGGGTCACTGCCGATCTCGAGACGATGTGGCCCCCTTTGACGGGCTCGGTGGCTGTGGATGTCCAAGAAAAATCCAAATTCCGACACATACGACGTGTCGTGATTTGTCACAACGTAGTTTGGGCGCCCGAGTTATCCGGGGTAACTCGGGTCCGGGGTAACTCGGGTTTGGATTCCCGAAAAAGGAACCCGAGTTAGCCCTGACCCGAGTTACCCCTGATGATTCGGGGCTCTGAGTAGTCCCCATGGGTCTGGACCGATTCCCCTGCGCCGGCTTTTCATCCTGCCTCGTTTTTGACGGCCCCAGGGCCCAGCGAGGGCCCGCGCAGGCTGAAAACCGCCAACAAAACCTCCGCCGTGAGAGGATGACAAAACCCCTCCTCCTCCTCCTCCTCCTCCTCCTCCTCCTCCTCCTCCTCCCTCCCTCCCTCCCTCCCTCCCTCCCGCCCTCCCTCCCTCCCTCCCTCCCTCCCTCCTTCCCCCCTCCTCCTCCTCCTCCTCCTCTCCTCTTCTCCTCCTCCTCTCCTCCTCCTCCACCTCCTCCTCATCCTCCTCCTCCTCCTTCTCCGCCTCCTCCTCCGAATCTCCATTCCTTTTCCTCATTAAGAACTCCTCCATGTCGCACCCCCAGACGTGTCAGTAGGGCTGGGTCGGGCGTTTCAACTTCGACATCAACACTACCAACGATCCTGAGGCTTGAACTTCGCATCAGCTTCCAAGATGGAGGGCGGCCGGCCTCCAAACTGTGCATCTCGCCTCAGCGCCGCGCACAAGATTGTAGAGGTTCACGGATGGGCAGCGGCTCGCTTTCAAAATGCCCCTCTCGCCCCAGCGCCGCGCACATTCGTCTTCAAAGTTTGTTCAAATTCACGGATGGAGGGCAAAACATGTTCAATATGTACCTCTCGTCTCAGCGCTGTCGCAAAAGCATACAATAGATTCAGAGCTCGCATGCTTGAAGTCCTAGGAACGGTGTTTTGGCGCGATGCTACATCGTCTGGACGCAACAGTCACGCTGATTCGCGGTGGTGGAATCCGAAGCATTGTGTTGGAGCACGACTTAGGATTGCCTGGACGCAGCAGCCACGTTGATTCGCGGCGTTGAATGTCAAAGAATTGCGTTTTGTCACGGTTGAAGATTCTCAGACAGTTGTCTTCCAATGGGGCACCTCCCGCAATGAGAAAACCTTGCAGTGGCCTGTGGAGAGAGAACTGTGAGGGAAGGTATACTGCAACATGGTTGATGCGTCTTGAGTTTGCACTGGTCCTCCTCCTCCTCCTCCTCCTCCTCCTCCTCCTCCTCCTCCTCCTCTTCCTTCTCTTCCTCCTCGTCCTCCTCCTTTTCCTACTACTGCCAGCCCCAAGGGCGTGCCGTGTGCAAGCCTGGCCACGAGAGGCAACGATAGGGGAGGACTCGCTCACGGGGGGGAACATCAACCTGGAATCAGCGGTACATCGCCGATAGATCGGCGATAGGCTCTCGACAACGAAACCGCACGGTCCTGGGCGGTGTGGGCAATCGGGCTCCTATCGGCGATCAATGGGCGATTAGAAGTCTATGCGTCCCCCCTGAGCCCATTCCCGTCCCCAGTGGTTTTCGGGTCATATCTCTGGCCTCTGTCAGCCGTTTGGGACGACTCTGGCACCCCGAGACGCTGTCGGCGAGGCGCAGCTGCAGGAGAGCCTCCCCGGGCTGGAAAGACGCCGAGATCCGACGAGAGCGACATCAAAACTCGCACCTCCAACCTCGAGCCCCTCCTCCCCTGGCGTTGCCCCTGAGGCCACCCCCGTGCCCTGCCCCGCCACACTGCGCGCGCGGGCGCGCGCGGGCGGGCGGGCGGGCGCTGGCCTCAGGTCCACGAGGGTCATGGCGAAGACTGGGCGGCCGCCCCTCTTGCAAAGTTTTGCCCTCGGCCCTCCTCGAGGATCGGGGAGGGAGTTTGGACGTTTTCGGACGGTGATGCAACGTTTTCAACCCTTTTCGGGCCTCCGGGGACCTCGGGGGACCTCCGCGGACCTCCAGGGACTTCTGGGGGTGAGGATCCAGGGCTTAGCAAAACTTCCCAGCCCCTCTTTGCAAACGATCGGCTGGCTTCCTCCTCTTTTCCCCCAAACGCCGATGCAGTCGACACATACGACCAGAAGCTGTGCTATGAGAAATCCAAAGGCACTTCCTTGATCGACTCTGCGCCACGTAAGGTGCCCGAGCTAGGGCTCTGCGGACCCATCGGGGAGCAAGAAACTCTCGTGGGGTAACCGCTGGCAGGCCAATTTCTCATATGGTGTGCCTACTGTGTGCTCTGGCTCCTCCAGCTGTGAAAAATCACGGCGACATTCGGCCTCCGGGGGCCTTCCGCGGGCACCAGGACCGTCCCAAAACGACTCGGGATCGAAAGCCGGTCCAAGGGAAAGGGTCCAGACCTCTGGGTAGCCATGTTGCCAAAGAACACGACGGAGGAAGTCTGGGAGGGTTAAGGGTCCCCCTGACGAAGGGTACAAACAGAGCCCCCTCAACGGGTCGCATCTGGATCGAAACGATTCCACCGGTGCGGTTCAGGAAGGGGTCGAGGGGCATCACAGAAGGCAAACATCACATCTGACACCGTTTACAACTTCTTCTCCCCATCCTCCTATTGCCAAGTTTGGACCCCGACCCTCAAGGATCAGGGGGCGAAAATTCTCGTCTTTGTTTGGCTTGCTTGTTTGCCCTTCCTGGGGATCCGGAAAACGCAAAGAGGCCTCTGGGGCACCTGGGGACCTCGGGGAACATCCGGGGGGTTAGGATCTCGGGCCGAAGCAGAACACATATCAACCCCTTCTCCTACCGCTGCCCCCCCAGGCCGCAACCGCATAGCCACTGGGCAGCGGAAAGGTTTGCCCTTCTTGCAAGGCTGTGCGCCGGCAGCGCAATGAAGCGGCGCAGCATAAGACACGCCGGTTTTCTGCAGCTCCAGCACCCAGAGTGGAGGCGGAGAAGGAGGAGGTGGAGGAGAAGGTGGAGGAGGTGGAGGAGGAGGAGGAAGCGGAGGAGGAGGAGGAGGAGGAGGAGGAGGAGAAGAAGAAGAAGAAGAAGGGCAGCAAAGAGAATCGGGGAGGTGGAGGAGGAGGATGAGGAAGAGGAGGAGGAGGAGGAAGAGGAGGAGGAGGAGGAGGAGGAGGAGGGCGGCAGAGGGGATCGTATAGTCGCCCAGTGGCCTCTGTCGGCGCAGTTACATGGAGCTAGCCAAGCCCACGAGCCCCCGCACGAGTGCGGCGCTCGCCATTCTCTGGCCGTCCCGCCAGAACCCGGCGCAGGAGTAGAAAACAGCACTCATCCTCCATCACCCTCTCAAGCCTGATCCTCCTCGCCCTGCTGCTGCTGCTAACGGCTGTAAGAGACGACGTCTGTCGACGTGCAAACCTGTTTTGCCCTGCTCCTTCTCCTCCTTCCCCTCACCTCCCTCCTCGCCCTCCTCCCGAACCCCTCACCCTCATCCGTTCGCCTCGCCCCTCGATCTTCTCCGTTCACCCGCCTCGCGGCACAGCAGGCCGAGTCAACGGGGTTTCCCGGCAGCCTGGAGCAGGCAGGTCTGCAGGGGCGCTCGTTCGTCAAGATTAGATCGTTGGTGGACCGAGGTCACCTCGACAAGTCACCCTCGTCGCCGCATCTCGACCGTCAATATTGGACTTGGGGCAAGGTGGATCCCTGATCATGCCTTCTTCTCTATGTCGGGTGGTCCATGCAAGGGTTCATGTGCCTGTAGGCACTTCCCTCATCATCTGCATCCATTTCCCCCTTCTCGTCCTCCCTCCTTCTCGCCTCCTCCCTTCCCTTGTCCTAACGTTCCTCCTTGAATTGTTCCTTCCTGCTCTTCCCCCCTCGCCTCCTTCTCATCCTCATATTTTCCGTTAGCTACTGGTCCTCGTATATTGATGTGTTTGTTCTCGTTCTTCCCCTCTCCGATCGGACAGAGATGATTTCATAAAGAACGGCGCGGCGAGGGTTGGAGCAGCGCCAGCCTAGTGTGAGCATCGGCCCCAAGCAGCCCAGCTGTACGCACTGCCCGCTCGTCCCGTAGAAGAACAACGGCACCGCAAAGAAACACACGGCCTGGGCAAAAATGGGCAAGGAAGGCGAGGAATTGTGCAGAAGGAAGAGCTCAATCCTAATCAGAATCAGCTTGCGGCAGCGCTGTTGCTCGTTTGCGCTCGGCAGCTAGAAGGAATAGGAGGAGGGGTTGGAGGAGCTTGCCAATCAAAGATGGACGCTGGGGCCCACTGATCCGAATATCAATATCACGTTTGACAAACGTTTGGGCCCCGATCTCGTCCTGGGGATCGTTTCCGTTTTGTTTTCTGTAGCCCCGAGCCATTTCTTGACGGCCGAGAGTGAATTGCCAAAAGCCTCCCATCGTGATCTCCCCACGACGCGAGGGGGGACTGGGAGCGTTCGACCCATCCTCGCCGCCGCGTGCAGGGCAACGTCAGGTGGGACCAGAACGGTTCAGGGGGAATCGGCGATATATCGCCCACAGGTCGGTGATAGGCCTCCGATAGCGAATTCGCACGATCCTGGGCGAGGAGGGCTATCGGGTCCCTATCGGCGATGAAGGGTGATGGGGGGTCGACGTATCCCCTCCTGAAATGACGTTGCCCCTGATCCAACCTCCTCGCCGCCACGTCCCGTCGCCCTAGCGCTCGCGAGCACCCAGCCCAGCTGCACACCGCCCGTGGCCTGTCAGCCCGCGGCAGCGGGCAGAATGTCCACGGCCCCCGTCGGCCTACGACGGCTGGAGCCGCGGCCAAGAGGGAGGAGAAGGCAGGAGGCAGGAGGAGAAGGAGGGATGGAGATTCGCCTGGAGGTTCGCCGATGTGCACAACGTGCAGCCCTCTCCACACATCCTGGCACGCTGTGGTAAGGCTGAACAGCCAGGGCCAAAACGCAAACGCTGGACAAAGCAGGAGGGTTGTTATCGAACGTCGGATTAAGCGTCTCGGTGACCTCGCAAACATGATGGACCCACGAACCCGGAAAGGGATATAGACATGTGGAGCATGGGCACGTTTTCACGATACCCAACGGGGCAACACCTCACGAAACATCCCACGAGACACCTCACGAAACATCCCACGAGACACCTCACGAAACATTCCGCGAGACACCTCACGAAACATTCCAGGAGACACCCCGCGAAACATTCCACGAGACACCCCACGAAACATTCCACGACGACAGGCAACCACTCAACCAAGGCGGTGTGGTCGTGCTGGGGAGTGGTCGTGCTGGGGTGTGGTCGTGCTGGGGGGTGGTCGTGCTGGGGGGGTGGTCGTGCTGGGGGGGTGGTCGTGCTGGGGCGTGGTCGTGCTGGGGCGTGGTCGTGCTGGGGCGTGGTCGTGCTGGGGCGTGGTCGTGCTGGGGTGTGTGTGGGGTGTGGTCGTGCTGGGGTGTGGTCGTGCTGGGGTGTGGTCTTGCTGGGTGGGGTCGTGCTGGGGGTGGTCGTGCTGTCGTGCTGGGTGCGGTCGTGCTGGGGTGTGGTCTTGCTGGGGTGGGGCCGTGCTGGGGTGGGGTCGTGCTGGGGTGGGGTCCTGCTGGGGTGTGGTCGTGCTGGGTGTGATCGTGCTGGGGTGGGGTCGTGCTTGGGTGGGGTCGTGCTGGGGTGTGGTCGTTCTGGGGTGTGATCGTGCTGGGGTGTGGTCGTGCTGGGGCGTGGTCGTGCTGGGGTGGGGTCGTGCTGGGGAGTGGTCGTGCTGTGGTGAGGTGGTCGTGCTGGGGTGTGGTCTTGCTAGGGTGTGGTCGTGCTGGGGTGTGGTCGTGCTGTGGCGTGGTCGTGCTGGGGCGTGGTCGTGCTGGGGCGTGGTCGTGCTGGGGCGTGGTCGTGCTGGGGCGTGGTCGTGCTGGGGTGTGGTCGTGCTGTGGTGAGGTCGTGCTGGGGTGTGGTCGTGCTGGGGTGTGGTCTTGCTAGGGTGTGGTCGTGCTGGGGTGTGGTCGTGCTGGGGTGTGGTCGTGCTGGGGGGTGGTCGTGCTGGGGCGTGGTCGTGCTGGGGCGTGGTCGTGCTGGGGCGTGGTCGTGCTGGGGCGTGGTCGTGCTGTGGGTGAGGTCGTGCTGGGGTGTGGTCGTGCTGGGGTGTGGTGAGGTCGGGATTTCAAAAACAAGCGTTTCGCTCAAGACATCCTCAAATTTTAATTCGCCGGCTCGTTATTTATCATGGAAAAAATTCGCCGGCAATTCGCCGGCTCGTTATTTACCAGGGAAAAAATTCGCCGGCAATTCGCCGGCTCGTTATTTATCAGGGAAAAAATTCGCCGGCCTCCTTCAAGCAGGCACCGGGGGACAGGTTTACCTACTAAAAGAGAACCCTGGGCTCAAGCCCTTTCCGGGAAAAAGGGAGGAGGGAGGAGGGGTTGTTGGATTCCAGGCTGGCCTCGCGCGCGCCCGCGGCTGGGAGCGAGGTCCAGGAAAAGAGGAAAGACAAACAGTCACGAGCGACGTCGGCGAGGAAGGGAGGGAGGAAGAAGGAAGAGCGAAGAGAAGCGAGGAGGAAGGAGGAAGGAGCTGGCGCACCCTGCCGTATGGACAGCACACTGGACTCTTCTGTGCAACAGGTGGTCGGCCATGTCATGCTCGCACTCGCTGGCGTTGCCGCTGGCAATGGTTACCCAAAAAATTGGCCGGCGCCCGCTGGCCTTGGGGGGGGCGCAATTCGGGCCAACCGCCGATCCGCACCATAAACAATACCGAACCCGGCGTCTCGGAACTTTCATGATGACACCCCCCTCTCCCACGGAGGGGCCACGGCCAACTTCCACGCGCTTCGCGGGGCCCACACGCAAGCTCCCAGGCTGAACGGTGTCACCTGCGCGCGGAAGCAAGCAGTCTTGCCATAGCTTGCCTTCGGAGGGCCCTGCACGGATCAGCTGCTTTCTGAAGCAGCCTGGGCTGCTGGCGCTGGCCGGGACTGCCCCGCGTGAGCAGGAGCCGCTCGGTGTACAGCTGTCGCCCTGGCACGCATGCCGACTTGCCGCGACTGCGCGTTGCCGAGGCCTCCTGGCGGGGAAGTGAAAGCGAGGCCATCGAGTTTGGGGGGCTTGCAGGTCATCGCTCCCCCTCCCTCTCGAAAATCTGTGACCTCGCATCTCATACGACCCTCCCCCCATGGTCACGACACTGGCTTCTCTCACGAGGTGTTTCATCGCCGAAAGCACTGAGGTTTTTCGTCGCCGCACACGCTCGACCAGCAGCTAACACCCATGCGCTGCTCTCGAAAGTGCCGTGGCCAGGGTCCGCCGCCACGCCACTGTCCACGAACGTCGCAAGCTCAAGGAGGAGGAACGAGGGAAAGGAGAAGGAGGAGGAGGAGGAGGAGGAGGAGGAGGAGAGAAGGAGGAGGAGGGGTGGGAGGTGCTGGCTCCTCCCACCAGGAGAACGGCCGGGAGACCAGGGACCACCTGGAGGCCGAGGACCTGCCTACGGACTGCCCCGGTACCGCCAAGGAGCATCCCAAGCTGCCCCCAGGAAGGCCAAAGAGGGCCGCGGCAGAGCCCCAGGACGGACCGAGAGTGAGGTCGCCCAAAAAAAGGCAGAGAGATCCCGAGACCAGCCCAAAACACACAAGGCTCCGCTCTGGATACTTGGCAGCAGGGGGCGGCGGTTATTTCAAAGCCCTTCCACTGGTGATCTGGAGGTGGCCCATGCGGGCAGCGCAAAGTAAAACCCGCAGGGTGAGAACGCGAGGGGGAGAGCCTGTCGGTGCTCTCGCCCCGCCTGAAGCAGCTACGATAACCTCGCTGGGGCCGTGCGTCGGCCCCTATCCCCACGATGGCCCACCCCCCGGCCGTGCCCAAAACCCACCTCGAACCTCACAACCTCACCACTGGCCTCTCCTCCGGCCACTACATGGCCACAGCCTCGAGAGGACACGCGAGAGGACACAAGACCCTGTCGAGGGCCACATTGCCATACGAGTGTAGAAGGCATGGTCCGAGAAGCAAGGGACACAAGGGTACCCTTGATTTGGCAGGGTCGACCTACTAATCATGCTCGACTGTACCTCTTGACTTGCAGATGCTCAAAAGAGCATTCGCATACGGCGGGTCCCCCGTGCCACCGCCGTAGCCCTCCCCGACCACCCGAGGCGCCCACAACATCAGAGATGGTAGTCAGGAAGTGCATGCCAAGCACCGTGGCTCCAGGGATATTGCCCTTCAGCCAGCAGAATGCGCGAATTACCTGCGGCAGGGCGAGGGGATGGAGTAATGACAAGCGCTCTAACGCGTCGCGTGCCGTGACCAGTGCGGCACCACCGCCTGCTTGTCGTGGCGATACGAACATGGGAGTACTGCGATGCTTCCGTGTACCGAGGTCCCACCACATTCGAATTTCGCATTCTGTGATTCGGGGACTCTCACAGAGCGGACGCGGCCGCAAGAAACCCAGCCCTGAAACCCCGCGCGCGAGATGCTCAAGGGGGGGGACACCTGGAGCACCCTGATCGCAGCAGCTTCTTCAACGGCCGCGGGAAGTCGCCGCGCAGCGCGCGGAACGAAGAAGCACGGGGCACTCTGACGAAAAGCACCTGGTCTCTTGATGCGCGCCTCCACTGCATGGACTGCTGTTGTTGGGCAGAAAAGGGGGCGTGCTGTGCGCGACGGGCAGGAGCCAGCGAACCGCGCTGCGGAGGGAGCGCAGAGGAGGGGGGGGAACCAGACGGGGCCCACGGCTGGAGAGGGAGGCAAGCATTGCGGATGCCATGACAATGGACACCCTGACAATCTAGGGCTCCCAACTTCGCGTTTCGCGCTCCGCGAAGCGCGAAGCGCGAATAACTTCGCGCTCTCGCGCCGCCCCCCAAGGGGGAGAAGAGGAGGACGAGGAGGAGGGGGGAGAAGGAACGAGGACCGCGAAGCGCGAAGCGCGAATAACTTCGCGCCCTCGAGGGAGCCCTTGACAATCCTATCACTGATGCTAAAGATGTGGCTCAGATGTCGGAACATGCTCGAACACAGTTGTTTATATATATATATATATATATATATATATAAAAAAGCGGGTTTAACATGTTTAAGACATGCTGCACATGAGTTAGACATCTGGGAGTTGTTTGGCAACATGCTTCCTCTCCAGTGATCGTCGTCTACAAGGCAAGCAGGAATGCACCTGGAAGCCCGACACTGCAACAGCGCAGGGGACCGGCGGATGCGGGGCACAGACGGCAGACCTGGCATCCTCTCGTGTCGTAAGAACAGAGGTGCTCCACAACTGTCGGCCTCCAGGGGCCCATCACTGGGCCCCGTGACCACCAGCAGAAACAACTCAGGCTGTGAAACACAGCACGACGGATGATGTCTGGAAGGGCGGGAAGGGTGAGTGAGAGAAGAGAGGAGCAGGGGAACGGGCAGATAGGGTGACCCAGGAGACCCGCTAGCGTGCGTTAGCTCAATGTTCTGAAGGCCCTGGCAGCTCCGTTCCCCAAGGGGTAAGCAGCGAATCGTTTTCCTGGCGCTGGCTGCTGGCCAAAGCACGCCCCGCCGAAAGAAGCTAAACTGGGAAATTCAAGAATGAATAATTGAATTTGTTCCCCTCAAGACAGCGCAAAGCAAGCCTCATGCCCCTTGTAGTTACTTCCCGAAGCGTGCCGCCGAGGATGTGGAACAAGAAGGATCAGCGGAGCAGAGAGCGCGGACAGGGAAAAGAGAGCCAGACTTTCTGCGCGGGAGCCCCATGGCGCATTCGGCCACTTGTATAAACCACCAATCAAGAACTGACGCGGCGGCCTTGTATTATGAGGAAACCGGAAGGCACCCATACTGCTACTCCCTGAACCTCTTCTGGGGTGCGTTCTGACCAGGATTTCGAGGCAAATCCAGCGGTGGCGACGCGGGCCTCCAAAGAGGCCCCCCGGAAGGGAAAAACGAGGGAAGAGCAGCGGTAAGGGTACCTTCCTTGTCCTCCTCCGATGCATTGAGCGACGGGCAACACTTAAAAGAGCAGACGAATGCAGGGGCGGAGTGCCCTTCGTACGGGGAAGTGGTGGGGAGCGGAGGGAAGGGCGAATGGAGCAATCTGAGGACAACAGATGCCGCCCTGTGTCACAAAAATTAAGTTTTGATAACTTCTACCAATCGATCACACCTGTCTTGGTCTCAAGCCCTGAACGCACCTGCGCATCGCAAAAGCTCGTCCTGATTGGATGAAATGCGCGAGACGCGCCGTGACCCGAGACGCAACATGGAATGCCCGAGTGTCCTATCGAGTGTTCCGTGCTGAGACTTGTAGTGATTCTGGAAGGGCGCCGTAACCAGAACTTCCAAAACGCTTGGGCGCCCCCGCGCACTCCTGAAACTTCTGGCATGACTTTTCCAGAGGCCCTGAAGTATGCTTGGGAATCCTCACTCCCAACATGCCCTGAGGGATGGCCCCAAAGGGCCGTAATGGGTTTCTCTTGGGAGCCTCTTGGGTTGTAGCCGAAAGGTCCGCGACGCCATGTATGGTTGACGCCTGGGCCTGCTCAGGCAGATCCCGATCTTCGGTTTGACGGCGGCCCTCCTCCCTATATTCCACTGCGTGCTCCCACACTTCCCTGATCAAAGCAACTATCCTGGGAAGTGTTGCTGGATGGGCTGTTGGGGATACTTTTTTGGTTCGCGGCTCCAAGGCGAAGGACAGGGAGCGGGTTCAACGTCCGGGGCGCGGTACGAAGTAAATTGGCCTCAGTGGCGTATGCACGTGCCAGGGACAAAATGACCCTCATTGAGACGCTTACGGCGTCGGCAGGTGACCGGCCCAGACATCCCGGCAGCTGGGGACGCAGGCGCGGCGACCGGCGGCGGAACGGGGGGGAGAAGTCGCCCTTTCGGCGCCAAGCTCCAGCCGAACCACATTCGGAGGCGAGGCCAGGACGGACGGCGCGGCACTGTAAAGCTGCACCCAGTGACAGGCCAAGACCTCAGAAAAGAGAGGGGGGAGAGTGCGAGCGCAAGCGACTAACTCAGACTCACTGCAGCACCCCGGGTGAACGATGGTGCGGCGAAAGAGGCCTGACTCATCAAGGCTCACTGGAGCTAAGGTGTAGCTGAACCGCGCCAGAGCGCCATCCAGTAGAGAAAGACCACTGGTGTGCGCTCACGAGGCTGAGCCACCTCCAGCCGGTAGCCAGTGCGTGCACATCGTCTCCGACTCACGCAGTTCGGGGGCACAACGATGCAAAGTACTGACGAGGGCTGGTAGCCGGGGCTGCTCTGAAGAGAGCGACCTCGAACTGCAGAAGGCTGAACCACTCAATGCAGGGCCGCTCACTTACAAAGGTGTGGTTGATCCACGTCAGAACGCCATCCATTAGAGAAAGACCACTGGTGTGCGTTCACGAGGCAGAGCCACCTCCAGCCGGTAGCCAGTGCGTGCACATCGTATCCGACACACGCAATTCGGGGGCACAACGATGCAAAGTACTGACGAGGGCTGGTAGCCGGGGCTGCTCTGAAGAGAACGACCACGAACTGCAGAAGGCTGAACCACACAATGCAGGGCCGCTCACTTGACGAAGCCAAACACCGGGTGTCACCGAGTGTATGGCTGACAGCTGCACCCACCCACACCTGCCACGCTGCCCGTGCGGAAGCCAAATACCCCGACGCTGGTGGCGTGACAATGGCTGGCGGCTACTGAGCTGCTGGGCCGTACCGCTCGCAGGCGGCGTGCTGACAGCGGGCCAAGACAGAACTATGACCGGGTCGGCGACGGACCAGGGCGGGCCACAGGCAGGAGGGGGGCGCAGCCAAAAACCGCTGAGCACTGGTGTCAATGAGGGGTGTCGGGGCACCGTCCCATCAGAGACCACTGGTGTGCTTGCACGAGGCTGACAACCACCAGCAGGTAGCTGGTCCACATACATCGTATCCGACTCACGCAGTTCGGGGGCACAACGATGCAATGTCCCGGCGAGGGCTGGGGCTGTGGCTGCGCCGAGGAGAGCGAAACGAACGTGGACCGCGGAAGGCTGTACCACTCGATGCGGGGCCGCTCACTGACGAAGCCAATCACCATGTGTATGGAGAACAGCCACACCAACTCAACACCTGCCACGCTGCCCATGCAGAAGCGGGATGCCTCCGACGCCAGGGCATACGGGTGGCTGTCATCTGCCGAGTTGCTGGGCTGTACCGTTGGCTGGCTGCGTGCTGACGTGCCAGGGCTGTTGGGGATACGCGAAGCAACGACAACCCCCTCAAAAGGGCACGTAGACACTTGACACAAAGAGCCAAGTACCGCTTGGGGCGATTGTAAGGTGTTCTATTTTGGAGGGGCAACGGCTGCAGGTAGAGATATCCCGCTGGTTAATCACTCGCGTCTCCCAACCAATTGTCTCTGTTGCCGGCCATGAGTCTAACAAATACGCTGAATGGCTTCCATGTGAAAAAGACCCTGGGTGATTGATCGGGACTCGACGGCCTCTGCACCGCGGGCCATCCTACAAAAGCGTGGGCTATGTCCAAATGGCCGAACAAGCATACGCGTTTAAGTAGAGAGTCCGTAACGTCTCGAAACGATCGGAATGCCCGGGATCAGAGCTCTCGCTGACGCCATCGTGCTTGGAACTGCCGTGTGTGAACTCTCTTACTCCCCCTACTCATCATGCTTGCTGATCGTCCCCTTCCTCTTCACGATCAACATCATCACCCTCGCCGTCTGCCTCCTACATTTAACCCTTCAGCCGTTCCCGTCTGCACCTTTGTATATGAAGGATGCGTGTTTCTCCGCCCCAGCCTGCCCGACACCACTCGTATCATTACGAACGTCAGCGCTGCCCAAGCACCGAGGCAACGCACGCATGTCAAGAGCAGGGGCCCCCTCGTTGTCAAGAGCGGCTGTCAGAAACCAGCCTGGAGAAGCGCCAGGCCGACCAGGCTCACCCTGCCGTGCACCAGGAACTCGAAGGCCTGGCGTCGACAAGCCAGAGTGGCTGGACATCTGAGAGACAGTGTAACAGCGCTCTGTCAGAAGCCTCGCGGCGTGTTCGCACTTCCCTGCGATTTTCTGCTTTGGCACCCTCCCCCCCCCCCACGCTGGCACGACACTATCCCACTGGCAACAGCATAATCTAGAAGCCTTCGCTGACAAGCAAGATGTAAAAGTGCCTTTTGGCATCGCCCCAAACAGCTTTTCTCACCTCCCGAAGTCGCACGCCTGCTGGCCGCAAATGCAAGGAGAGCCAGAATGGCAAAGAGCTGGAAAGTCGGATGAGAAGGAGAGAAGGAGAACGAAAGAGAGAAAGGAAGAGAGAGAGAGAGAGACAGAGGGAGAGAGAGAGAGAGAGATAACACACACACACAAACACACATACAGGGAAATATACATATATATATATAGTGAGAGAGAGGGAGGAAAAAATGACAGGGAAGGAAAGGAGAGAGAGAGAGAGAGAAAGAAAAAGAAAGAGAAAAGAGAAATCAAAACAACAAAGGAAAGAGACTAGTGAGGTGCGCTCACGATACATATGATATCAGACCACTCATTCCCATTACTTCCTGTTGCGCTGCTTTCTTCGGCGCTCAAACACATATACCCAATCGTGTTGTGCGCTGCTGTGGGAGGAGAGATGCGCACATAAGGGGAGGAGGAGGAGGAGGAGGAGGAGGAGGAGGAGGAGGAGGAGGAGGAAGTGGCGGATTGGCAGGATAATGGGCAGGAGGAAAAAAAAGGTGATGAAAAAAGAAGAACGAGGGCGAACAACAGCAGCAAGAACTGGAGCGGAAGGAGAAGACCCGGGGAAGGCGGGGGAGGGGAAATGAGGGGGACGACAACGATAAAACAGCTCGGATCTGGAAAGGTGGCCCGCGCTAGGGCGAGAGCGCCACTGTAAACGACGGGAACAAACCGCTGAGCCGAAGATGAAGCCCACGTTGTTGCGGGAGCACCATGTCGAAACACCGATAACAAACGGATTCCCAAAACATCAGCAAAGATTGGGAAACGTTGGCCGCCAAATGCGTAGTTTATAAATCCCGGTGGCGCATTATACGTGCTGCAACCGATTTGGAACAAGATATGCAGTGCGATCTGCGTGGTACAATATATGTTGTGCAACATCTATTGTGCACCCTACCGGATGCAGCCTACGTGGTGCAATTTACGTGGTGCAAGTTACGAGGTGCAACCTACGTGGTGACCTGTCTATGGTAGAATTGGTTTTGACAAACGAGCTGAAACATCCCATGCGTCGGCAAACACTCACCCGCAACTTGGTTTGCAAAACCCATGCGGTGGCGATTGCGATGCATGCTTGGCGTTGGCTGGTGCATCTCTGCGGCCGCACCAACCCTAGCACGCGCGCGCAGCGGCCAGCTAGTTTGGCGCCGCCAGCGCGGCCGCGGTGGCGCTGACCGCTGGGCGCATCTCAGCGGGCAGTTCACTGCGAGTCGGCGACTTGGGCGGGCGCGGTATCATGGCAACGTCGACAACGGTAGACAGGATGATGATAGTAGCGATGCTGGTGACGATGTTCGCGCCGACGAAGGCGCGGCCAGCGGCCAGCGCGGGCGCCGATGCAGATCACGCCGACGACGGTGACGGCATCCTAGCGGAGGCGATGAAGGTTTTAGAAAAGTGAAAGTCCGACATGCGCGCGCGGCCGACGCGCGAGAGTGGCCCACATGGTTTTACTTGTATTTGACACGGATCGCGCCCCCTCTCCCCGCGCAAGGGCGCGCGAATGATGTCGGCATGCGCCGCCAGAGGCCCGCTTGGCAGAATTCCATCAAAACATTGAAAACCGATGTGTATAAAAGGATTCGCAAAACCGCGCGCGCAAGCTAGTATTCAAATCTGATGCTGCGAAACTATGTGTTTTTGAACATGCGTCTGACATGCGGTTTTGCGACCGGTGCGAAACTGAAAGTTGTTTGAAGGAATCCAGCACGCGCGCGCGACAGCGCGCGCGCTGACTTCGCCCCATGTTTTGCACGGGGTTCTCGCGACGGCACGCGCGCAAGGGCGCTCGGGCGATTTCGACGCGCGCGCGCACGAAGCCCGCGCGATAGTACTCGCATGAACTACGTTGAAAGCCGATGGCTTTCTTCAGAATTCCCAAGAGCCCGCGCGCAAACTTTTTGGGGGAATCCGTTTTGAGAAACTATATGTTTCCTGTTTCTCGCTCGATTTTGAAACCCGCACGAAACCCAGAAAGTTTCTAAGATACTTTGGCACGCGCACGCGACGACGCGCGCGCGTGCACTTCTGACATTTGGTCAGAAGATTCTCGCGACGGCGCGCGCAAGGGCGCTCGAACGATTCCGACATGCGCGCGCGAAGCCCGCGTGGTAGCATGTTCTGAACACGTTGAACAACTTCTGGGTTTTCTGAACAAGTCGCAAGAGCGCGCGCACGCTTGTTTTGAACACCCGCGTTGCGAAACCATTTGTTTTTATTTTGGAGCGCCCAATATTGAAATCCCTGCGAAACCAAAAACGTTGAACTGATCCTTGAATTGAGTTATAATACGCGCGCGCACTTCGTCCCATTCTTTGCAAGGGGTTCTTGAAAATTGATGATTCGTGATGAACTAGCGCGCGTGCGTACTTTTTTATTTGCAGAGGATGACGGGGGGGCGGATGCCGGCTGGGCCAGCACTGCATCAATTCACAGTTAGGATAGGCGACCGGGCAAAATCATCTGTAAAGCGCAGTAAGAAATAGGGTGCCGGTAATCCGGGGGGCGGGGGGGGGGGGGGGTAAACTATAATTTCTTTCAGATTGCGGAACCCGCAGCTGTCAACCCTGCTGCTCGCGCAATCATCCCGCCCACCCACCCGCAACTTGCGTTGCAAAACACATGCGGCGGCCATTGCGATGAGCGTTTGGCGTTGGCTGGTGCATCTCCGCGGTCGCGATAGCCCGCGCATGCTCGCGCGCGCAGCGGCCAGCTAGTTTGGCGCGACCGACGCGGTCGCGGTGGCGCTGGCCGCTGGGCACTTCCCAACAGGCAATTCAGTGCGAGTCGACCACGTGGACGGGCACGGTACCATGGCGACGTCGACAACGGTGGACACGACGATGAAATTGGGGGCGCTGGTGACGACGTTCGCACCGACGGCGCGGCCAGTGCGGGCGCCGATGCTGATCACGCCGACGACGATGACGTCGCCCTCGCGTCGGCGATGAAGGTTTTGCAAGGTCGCGCAAACCCAGCGCGCGCGCAAGGGCGTTCGAACGATTGCGGGACGCGGCGAGAGTGGCCCCTTTGGCAGAATCAAATGGAAAGCATTGAGAAACCTGTGGTTCTCGATTCTAAACAAAATGCCATGAGCGCGAGCGCATGCTTTGTTGAATACTGTCGTTGCGAAACCATATGTTTTTGCACGGTTTCGGGCCACTCGGTCTTGAAATTCGCGCGAAACCATCGCCGTTTGACAGACTACGGCAAGCGCGAGGGCGCTCGAGCGATTTCGACATGCGCGCGCGCGAAGCCCGCGCGGTAGCATTTTCTAGAAATGTTGAAAAACCTATGGTATTCGCATGACTTCCCAATCGCGCGCGCAAGACTGTTTGAGAATTCCGCTTTGCGTGAACATGGGTTGTTTGTAAATGTTCCTCGGACACTCGATGTTCATTCAAACCCGTGCGATTCCGCAGGTGTCTGAAGGGCGCCGGCACGCGCGCGCGACGACGCGCGCGCGCACTTCGTCGTATCTTGCGCAGGGGATTTCTGACAACATCTGATTTTTGATACACGAAAGCTCGCGCATTGCATTTCTTGTTTGCACGAGGATGACGGAGGGGGGCCGTTACCAGCTGTGCCGGAATGGCACGACCCCGCATCTAAGATCGACGATGGGGCACGATCACAAGTAAATTGTAGAAAAAGGAATGCGGATAACCTCGGGGGGGGGAGACTTCACTGTTCTTTTAGATTGTGGAACTCGCAGCTGTCAACCCCGTTGCTCGCGCAGTCATCCCGCCCGCCCATCCGCGACTTGTGTTTCAAAACGCCGGCGGCGGCCCTTGCGACGAACGCTCGGTGCCGGCGGGCGCAGCTCCGCGGCCGCGGTGGCCCGCGCGCGCTCGCGCGCGCAGCGGCCAGCTAGTGCGGCGCGACCGACGCGGCCGCGGTGGCGCTGACCGATGGGCACATCCAAACGGAAATTCCAATGCGAGTCGGCCAATGTGGCGGGCGCGGTGGCGCTGACCGATGGGCACATCCAAACGGAAATTCCAATGCGAGTCGGCCACTGTGGCGGGCGCGGTATCATGGCGACGTTGACAACGGTAGAGACGACGATGTAATTGGGGACACTGGCAACGATGATGACAGCGGCGACGGCACGGCCAGCAACGGCGCCGACGCCGGTCACGCCGACGACGATGACGGCGTCCTCGCGACGGCGATGAAGGTTTCATAAAGAGTTCGACACGCGCGCGCGGCCGACGCGCGAGAGCGGCCCGAGCGGCGTTAGCGGACACGGATCGCGCCCCCCCAACACGCGCGCAAGGGCGTTCGAATGATGAACAACCCCGTCTGGCCGAATTTGATGAACAGGTTGGAAGCCGAAGGTTGTCTTGAAAGTTCGCAAGATCGCGAACCCAGTTCGTCTGAAAACTGATGTTGCAAAACCGTGTTATTTTGAATGTTTCTTAGACACTCGATCTGTAAATCTTGCGAAACCGAAGCTCTTGAACGTATTCGGCGCGGGCGCGACGAAGCGCGCGCGCGCGACGTTCCAATTGTCGCGATGTGCTTCTGGCGACAGCGCGCTCGCAAGGGCGCTCGAGCGACTTCGACATGCGCGCGAGGTGCAATGTATGTTTTATTTGTGTTCGGGGCGCTCGATGCTGAAGTCCTTACGAAGCCTCAGGTGTTTGAATGATTTCGGAACGCGGGCGCGACGACGCGAGCGCGCGCACTTCGTCCCATGGTCTGCAAGGACTTTTTGAAAGCTGCTGAT